GGGGGGGCTCTTCTGGCCTCCTCCGGGCCACAGCCCTCCGCCGCTGGCCCGGGGAGGCGACGGGGGGGCCTCTTCTGGCCTTCTCCAGGCCGCAGCGCTCTGTCGCAGGCCCTGAGAAGAGAGCGACGGGCCTCCTCGGGTCTCCCTGGGGCTGCAGCACTCCAGCGCAGGCCCTGGGAGGCCGGCGGCAGGCCGTAGCGGGAGGAGCTGGGGGCAGGGCTTGCTGCCACCGCCATTTTCCCAGCTCCTGGGCTCCCAGAGCAGTGCTCTGGCACACTCCGGCCCCAGAAGACCCCTGGCCACAAGTTAAATTTAAACATACAGCTCTGGAAATGGCCATATGGAGACAGACTTGGGAGAGTGTGGCACACTTCTACTTCTCCCCACCTTCTTCACATTTTGGTTATAAGGGGAAGCTCTCTGTATATTAATACTATTGACCAAGAAAATTAGGGAAATATTTTTCAACATATCTCAGAAAAGATGACACATAATTTCCTATAGTTTCTGAAGTAAATGTAAGTCCTGTGATCTACATTTTTCTTGCAGAAGAAAATCCCAGGAGAAAGCCATCTATGAATTTTTTAATGTACAGTCTCTTACCGCCTGGCACCTGCTCCATGAATATCTTAATGAATCCATCTTCACTAAATGAACCAAGGTACTGTACAATATTTTTGTGTTTGAGGTGCTTATGTAAAGCAATTTCTTCATGCAAAGGCTGAGAATATCTAAAAGAAAGAGACAATTTAGAACATTTCCATCAATTTTGTTCATTGTAGGCAATTCAGTACAATGTAAATTATAAATACATCCTGTGACAGCAATTCTGATAATGCCTACTTTAAAATAAACTGGCACAGGAAATTGCCCAGGCAATGTTTGTGAAAAGGAAATAGGTTCCTAACGAAATGATAATAAAGAACAAATAGGCAGAAAGCATGAAAGCTAAATAAATCAATTGTCCCACTGAAACAGAAAAATAAAACTCAAGCTTATCTCTTTGGTTGGATAATAAATGAAAAGCTTTTAAAGTGGGAGGTTTATAGGGAATGTCAACCATGGATGTTTGCCTTAAGTGCATTTCACTGGGCTATATTTTTTCTTGCAAAACTGGCAATATGCTGTTCTGATGATAACTGAGGCTGAATTTGAAAAAAAATATATGAATAACTGTTCATGTGAATAGTGTATTATTCACTCCGATGCTGCACTACCCATACGAACAGACCACTTGTGTGAACAGATTCCCTTTATCTGAAAAAAACACACCTGAGAATGGCTTAAGAGACAAAGAGTTGGTCTTCTATACGTTCATATCTTCTTACAGTATTATGTTTTATGATACTGATCAGGGTCAGCCTTCCTCCATCTTAAGTATTTCATTCTTGTTGAAAAACTTTAGACACCAAACTTTGAAATATAACAAAACAACTCCACTTTCAGGGACTGAGTAGTTTGGCAGTATTAAGGTGCAGTATGCTTTTCCACTTTAGGACAATGTTGGGATAATTGAACATTATGCACCTGCACAGATGGAACTTCCACAATACCTTTTGGGGAAAAGAGCCTGGACACCTTATACACCCACCTGAAAGCTACAAGACCAACTAGGAGTAGGGAATTTCATGACCTTCTGTCCTTCAATAGATGGTTTTAGTTTCTGAGAAGACAGCCATGTATGTTATATAAAACTACTGTATTCTGTCTATTTGAAGAATTCTAGGTATCATCCTCCCTGGGCCCCAAGATTAATGGCTGAGGCCTTTATGCAGGAACATATAGTGCCTGACATGAGACTAGTAGGCAGGGCTATTTTTGGGCAAGAATGCAGTTCCGGCTGGCTTCAGAGTTGGCCACGCCCACTACAGCCAAAACCTTTGCGTGTGTGCATAACCCCCCTGGTGACTCCAAGGCGAGTGGGTGAGGGGGCCCCTGGAAGGATCGGGGAGGCATTTAAATGCCTCCCCCGGCCTGTCCAAGGGCCGGCTTGCCCGGACTCCCTGCAGCCGCAGGGTGCCTGGGCAAGCCAAGGGAAGGCAGTTTAAACTGCCTTCCCTTCCCTTCAAGGGGGGGCTTGTCCAGGCTCCCCGCAGCTGCAGGGCGCCCAAGCAAGCCAAGGGAAGGCATAGGCTGTGGCCTAATATGCCAATGAGCTGTGTTGTCAGGGGTGTGGCCTATTATGCTAATGAGTTTCTGCTGGGCATTTTCTACAAAAAAAGACCTGCTAGTAGGGATTTGGGGAAGGGCCTTTTCAGTTGCTGTTGCTACTACGAAGGAGGAGGAGAAGAATGACAATGACTTGGATTTAAACCCTGCCCTTCACTCAGTCTCAGAGCAGCTTACAATCTCCTTCCGTTCTTCTCTCCACAACAGACATCCTGTGAGGTAGGTGGGGCTGAGAGAGCTCTGAGAGAACTGTGCCTGGCTGCATGTGGAGAAGTAGGGAATCAAACCCGGTTTGCCAGATTAGAGTCCCCTTCTCTTAACCGCTACACCAAACTGGCTCTCTCCTTTCCCCATCAGGAAGTAAGGCTCTTGCTACTCACCATCTGAAGAAAATTCACTTCACCCTGTCTCCTCTTATATTGCATTCTATGGATAGTTTTATGATTTAATGTTTAGTGATGTCCAAAAGTTCAAAGAGATACACTGGCTGCCCATTCGGTTCTTACCTGTCATTATAGCTATTATATATAATTCTGGACATAGCTCCAGATGTGGATAATTTAATTCACAGATTAGGATCATGTGCACAACTATAAACTTAGGGAAAACTCCAGGTTTGCAAAAAAAGAAAAAAATCTTGATTTGTAAAACAGTAAATTGTCTCTGTGTGTGTGTGTGTAGGGGGGGAGAAAATTACAAAAGTTTTACAATGCTGATGTCTTACAAGATTTCCTCATGAGATCTTGACAGCCATTTTGGATTGGCTAGGCAACTCTGGTTGAAGCTTCACTTCAACACTGGAGAATTGTGAAAGGAGTGGGAAAGCAGGCAAGGGAAGAATGTAGATGGGGGGGTGAAAGGAAAGAATGAAAAATTAGGCAAAAGAGGGAAAATGGGGACTGGCATTTCTTGATTGAAGAAGTGAGCAGTGACTCATGAAAGCTCATACCCTGCCACAAATTTTGTTTGTCTTTAAGGTGTTACTGGATTCTTGCTGTTTTCTACTGCTACAGATCTAAAAGTAACTCTTCTACCAAAACTGTTTTTAAGGAAGAATAAAACATGAAAAGTGCACAATTAGAACTCATCAGGAACTACATCTTCCCCTGGCTTAAACAGAGACTTAAGGTTTCCTTACTCATTATAACTGCTAATAGTAGAACAGGACCCACTCTTTAGGGATGTTTATCGGTACTTATCATGTTGTAATCATATCATGATGCTGCATCCTACTGTAATAATTTACAGATGTTAGCTGGTTGATACGTCATACTACTTATTCTTTGATCAGACTGTATGTTTATGTGGATTAGCTGTGTTCGTTTGAAGCAGTAGAACAAAGTTTGAGTCCGGTGGCGCCTTTAAGACCAAAATTTTTTATTCTGGGTATAAGGTTTTGTGGACACTACTGTAAAAATGCACAGTGGACATATAGACACCAACATCCCTTTTACTGTGATCATCCTCATAAAAATTCTTGCAAAAGATTTTTCATTTCGTGCACCTGAGGAAATGAAGTTTGATCCATGAATGTTTATGCTAGTATAAACTTACTTTGACTTTAAAGTACCAGTTTACTTCTGTTTTATTAAGCTTATACTGTCTTGGGATGTCTACTACAATTTGCCATGCTCATTTCCTATTCTGAAGATGACCTGGTTAAGTTCTCTATTGCTTTCTTACTCATCGTCCTATTTTCTTAGCTTTTGAAAGCATTACCAGGAGTTCCAGAAATAGCATGTGACGGTATTTTTCAAACTTTTTGAAGTCATGGTGGAATTAAACAATACATGCAAATGTGCATAACCAAACTCTGATTGCCAGGTTTTTTTAGAGAAAAGCTGCTTTAGGAGGAGACAATCTGAGGACAAAGGGGGGGGGAGCAGCTTAAACTCTTTCCTACCCACTGCTTTTCCACTTCACCCTTCCGATTATGTTCTCACATGTGAAGTTTCAAACATGTATTGGTGAGGATAAACACATTCTTAGCATACTCGGTGGGGTGAGCAATATGTGGTGGCAGTGGAAAAGTGCCAAGCAAGCAAAGAGTTAAAACTACACCTCTGGGTAAGGTCTTCCTCTCACTCAGAGCCAAAGGGGTATAGCATTTTGAATGGTAGACTATGCCTGTGCAACCCCAGATTTAAATTTTTGCTTATTATCAGAAACTCTCCAATGTATTCTATCCTTGAAGGATATGTGGGATAAAAATGTATTAAATAAAATATGGTGCTCTGCTAAAAAAACCAAACACACCAACCCCCCCCCCCTTTACTTCTGGGTCCTCCAAGAAAACATCATCAGTTTGTCCCTTGAATGAATACACAGAGATCAAGACCAGACACACAACTGCAGCTCTTTAATGTATATGTGGATTTGTGAACCAAACATTAGCTCTGGCAAGATATGAGATATATAGCAGAGCATGTCTGACTCCCACTCCCTTGTGTGACTGCCCACAGAATAATATAGAGACGCTTCCTTGAAGAGCAAAGGTATCACTAATAAAATGATTCTCTCCCCTCCTGGAACATCAGTTCAGCCAATTTAGACTGGCCATTACCACAGTTGAGAATGTAAGACATATGAAAATTAAAGAGTTGATAGTGTCTTTTGAAGATGATAATTCTTTCCCATAACTAACTTAGCACACTGGTATATATCACACACCTATAAACAGTGTTTGTAATCATTCACTGTTACAATACCTGCTATCTCTTTCTGGGATTTCTTTAATGGCAATTCTGACTTGATTGCTCAGATCTCGTCCTGCATAAACAATGCCGTAAGTGCCTTTCCCCAAAATGACTCGCTCACCATTTTCATCATATTCATAGTCATACTACAACAGAAAGAAAAGTAAAAGAAAGGGATCTGTGATTCCAGTACGTATGTCATTTACATATTGTTCTGTGCTACAGAGATATATAATAAGAGCAGCATGAAAACCTGGGACAGAATAAAATAATTGTTGTCAGCGGTGAAACTGGCCCACAGCAAACACCTTACAACAACTATGTCTTCTGTGCAACAATTCTATATATGAATTACATTTAACTAGAAGCTACGGAGGATGCATTGCTGCTGTCTCCTTGGCAATGTGTAGTACAAAGACACTCATGACATCACATCATTGCACTTAGTGGTTACTATCAATGAACTAGAACACTGAATATCATAGCATCACATATATATTTCTTTTACTAGGAGAAATGTGAGAATTTGAAGCAACAGTGCACCTTCGTAACATCTTGATTGGCCCTCAGTTTATTGCAGAAATAGGTTTTTCTGGCTTGCGGCTGCAATGCACTGGGAATCAAGTAGGGCCAGTGTTGGTGTGGCTGGCGGCGCGGCGATGGGCGGCTCTCGGATCGCTCCGAGCCGCCCGAACCCTTTATTGCTCTTTTTGGGGCCACCCGGTCTCTGGGTGCATTCTGCCAGACTTCCCGTAGAGAGGTCTGGTGGCAGCGGGCTTTGCCTCGGCCCCTCCCACAACTGGCAACGCGGGGGGGTGTCCGTTGCTGCCCCGAGGCAGGAGTGGTTTGTGGGGTAGAACATGGACGCCATGTTCTACTTAGCTGCAGCCTGCCTTTTTAATCACGTTGGGAATTATAATTTATAATACAGCAACACGGAGAAGGAAAAGAAAAGAAGAATAAGTGAGTACATGCAGGGGTCATTTCGTAGAAAAAGAGCTAGGGGAACTCATTAGCATAACTCATTGGCATATGCCACACCCCCTGACATCACCAGAAGTGTGTCATAAGGCCACCCCCCCTGACATCAACGGAAATGTGTCATAAGGCCACACACCCCGCCCCCAACGGTCCCGGCCGCCACCGCC